AGAAGCAGAAAGAAGTGCTTTGTTAACAGACTTGTGATTCTTAAGATTGATGAGAAGTGGACTTAAAGTGCGTTACAAGATGCGCTTTACACAAATGCGTATAAAAGTTCAATGCTACCTGATGTCTCGTTGTTAGACAATTAGCTTTGTATTGTTGAATACCTAGTTTCTGTCTAGTCTTTTGTACTTGTATACGACAATGTTTTGCCTTTATCTTTGACGGGCTTTTGAACTCAAGGTCGGTTGTAGTCTATGTTTTCAGCTTTGCATAACTGACATGAAATGTTGTCAATATTTTGTAGATTATACACATCTTGGAATTTAATCCTCATTCATTCGCTAATTGTCAAGACAAACAGAAGAAAAGTCAAAGTGAGGTAATAACTTATCTTATGAAATTATTTCTATGCTCTTGTAACATGCCAACTATGTACTTGTGTTGCATCACGAAGAGTATAAAATTGTCATTGTGTTTTAGCAATTGCTTGTTACTTTGTTAGTTCAAAAAATGTGTACACTAATCGTTGCATATTTTATGTTTATGTTGAAATGTTGTAAAGCAGTTTTGCAGATGACGGTTGCTACTAGAGTTGTTTGTTAATTGTTGCAAGTTATTCCACGCCCTTTTCCTCCAAAACTTCTTTCTCTCCTACATTGACAAAAAACAATGTTTATATATAACATGATGATAAATTTGGTTTGAAAATTATGCACCGGGATCCAAAATTGTCAAAAGTGACTGGTATTCAATGTCAATTTTGTGTTACCTTTGGCCGGGAGGAAAAAATTGACGCAAAAAAAATATGTTGCTTGTACTGTCAAAGCATGGAAATCATCCTTTTATAACGATAATGTTACCCATCACATTTGTCCGACATCCTTGTCAATGGATGATATATTAGAGTTTAGATTCATCTTGAATTCATAATTCATATTTTGAGTATATTCCACTTGTGTTTAAAAGTTTGATCAAGGTCCAATTCTCTTCATCTTCCTAATATGAAGATGAAGGAAAAATAATACATGAAATTGAACGACATATTGTGGATACTGTTGTTAAAAATATGATGTATAATCCAAAGGAGCAAGAAGAAGATAGTTGTAACACTAGCGTTAAGAGAGAAATTCATTCGAAAATATAAACATAAACTCAGAAGATGACAGATACCAACAATGGTTCTATTTTTCCTTATATAGCTTTCAACAACAAATATGAGGAGATAAAATCTTATTAAATGATAAATGATGTGGCGGATAACCCTAACAAGCACATGGATTGGTGATGTGGTGCCTCCAGCTAACATAATAACTAACTCATTTAATATTTACTTAACAAGCACAATGATTGCTGACGTGACACTGTCAACTAACACACATACTCTCTACCTACCAAGTGCGCAAATCGTTGACATGGCGGGTATGACTAGTTTACGCTAAAGTATCTATATTAACATTTAAAGTAACCTCTACTTTAGTTTTAACTAACTAAAGATGGTTACAAATCTCCCTCCTTTTAAGATGCAACGTCATGGTTGCACATACGTTCAAACTCTTGAACTATCAAAGATTCATTTGCTAAATTCTAAGCTAGTTGCCAAGTTGATTTATATGATGATTAGCCTTTCCATTGAATCAAAAACTATACTTTGGGATATTTATGAGCTCGAATACGTTTCTTGAGTATCTTTTCTACCTCAAACTACTCATGATCTACTATCAAGTTTGAAAGAGGAGGGATGTTGGTTGGTTGGTGAATTGTGTTGGTCGTGATACATGTTTTTGCAATCGTGACACTTGAAATACCAGATGTATTTTCATATGTGACAGAAGTTCTAACTTGTTTGACACTTCATCAACACGCTTCAAAACCAAAAATGGACTAATGAACCTAGGATTCAACTTTGGTGTTACTACAAAAGACAAATTTGTTATATCAAACTTGATCTCCTACCTCAAAAACCCACTTATCTACGATGAGCATCGGCATGCCGTTTTTGCCGATTTTGAACTATCACTAACTTCTCTTTGGCCTGATGTAGTACTCGATGAATATGCTCCACAAACTCGTTGATTGCTGCAACTTTGATAAAAAATTCCTCTCCTTTCGGAAGTCGCACCAAATTTGAAGTACTTATAGTATGAGCTCCATACATGGGGTAAAATGAAAACACTTTTGTGGATGCATTAACCAAATTGTCAAATGCATATTCTACAAGTGGCAAAAGGTTGTTTCACTTTTCTTGCTCTTCTAATGTGAATGCTCGTAGCATATACTCTGTGGTCTATTTGTACTCTCCGTTTGTTCATCAATTTGAGATCGATAGGAAGTTAACATTGCTAGTTTTGTTTTGAAAAAATTAAACAAAGTTTTCCAAAATAAACTAGTGAAGTGAGTAACTCTATCCGTTATTAACACTTTGCTGAAGCCATGATTCACAAAGACTGCATCTAGATACAATTGAACTAGTTGTGGAGATGTTAACGTTTTTGTGGTTGGCCTGATTTGAATATTTTTGCTCAATTTGTCCACAAAAACCACCACTGAATCATGTCATAACGAAGTCTTTGATAACTCACATACGAGATCTATGGTGACATGTTTCCACCGCTGTTCAAAAATAGGAAGAGGACGTAATAAATCCGCTGCTTTTTTATTACTTGTCTTGTTTTGTTGACAAACAACACAACTTCGAACATAAGACCCCACATCCTAACGTATTTTGGGTCAATGGTAGACTTGTTGTATGCTCTTTACGGTTTTCTTCATTCCCACATGACTTGCAATGGTTGTGTTATGACTTTCAGCCAAAATCATTGTGCATAAATCTTGATCTTGTGGAATCCATATACACTATTTGTAGAACGCAAAACCTTGAAACTTCTCCGACTTTCCAATTTGTAATGCTTGAGTGATATCTTCATACTCTTTTGTGGCATGTGTCATCTTGCTTCACCAATCAGATTGAATTTTCACTTATGCAACATGATTCAAACAAGACATGAGTGTGAAAACATCCGCAAGTTGCTTCTTGCCCTCCACCTGCAAGTACACAATCTTAATATTGAAGCGTTGACGCCATTGTGCCCATCTCTGCACATAATTTCTGCATCAAGGAGAATTTAATCATCCCCATATCCATTCCCTGTAACATTGGAAACTTCTTTTCTTTTCAAAAGTATAAATTGTTTTATTCACCTATGCAAAGAATGAAGCCTTATTATAATCTGATTTTCCAAGTATGTCTCTCTCTCGGATTGGAATTTATCCATTTTCACTTGACGTGCTATTTAGATCATCTTGATTGCAAGGTGTATGAGTACAGAAGTTGGTTTCCGGCGTAAACTAGTTTCCTCGTCCGCCATGAAGATTCCTTATGTGATTCTGTTTGTTGTGTTACCGGTTAGCAGGCTAGATAAACAACTAGCCAGCTAGTCGAGACGTGACCAACCCTAATAGGATTTCACGAATGCAGCAAATAACCAAAATTGCAGTTATATTAAGCAATATTGCTGAAGCACTTTCAGCCGAAACACATATTTAAGAAATTTAAGTAAACTTTAACTTCAAAACCGAAACCTCATGGCAGCGAAATACATAATTTATGAAATCTATGACATATATTATGGGTTTAGAGAGTCCTGACAATTGGAAATTTGTATTTTTCAACAATATATGGATTTGCTTTAACTTCAGTTGATTGAAACACATATAACACTCTTTTTGTATGTAAGAAATTACTTTTATTGATTGCTTCTTATTTACTTCGATTTAAACTTGCAAACATCACATTTTAATGAAATCATGACTTACTTTGAACATACTTTTGAAAAGACAAAGATTCAAATGTTATCTACTTAATTTAGAATAAAACCATATGCACACATGAGCTATGAAGATGTCAATGTGTGATTTAAACACATTGACAACACTAATCTGAGTAGAAATAATAAGTGCAATTTTGAAGATTATAATGCTTAATAGAGTCAAATACCATTATATGCAGTTTTATGGGAATAATAGTATAAACGAATATTTGTAATATTGTATATGGTTCACTAACACTGAATGGAATTTAAGAAATTTTTGGAATTAAAAATAGAAGAAGAAAGCTTAATTTTAAATTAAAAAACAAGATGTGTTTCAAAGAATGTAATACACTTGAAAATGACATAATTCAATTGCTTTGCATTCCATCAATAACCTATATGTAATCATATAAACAAATTCGACCATATATATTTTTCAAATGGTATATTTTTGAAATGATATTGACCAACTTAGATGGAAACCTCACATCCAATTCAATGTAGAGGTAAAGTAGAGAAAGAGGAGAGTTGATTTTCCACCTAAAAAACTAAAGTATCCTTAAATTTTTGTAAAATAATTGCTAAGGCATGATATGATCCAATTTATGACAGAGATTACTATTATTTCATCTACAATCCTACAGCAAGAAGATAGTAATAGTGTGACTTGAAGAGAACAGAAAAGGTGGAATTAATACATCAAACCTATCAGTTCGATATTTTGTACCATACTTTTTTTTTCTAGAAGTTTAATGAGCTACAAGCTATTGAAAATAAAATGATAATCATGGGAGGAGAAGAAGTTGACTCATATGTAGGTCAAAGCAAATCGTTTGCACAGTGCTTAATGGATGTACTACGTTTTCAAGTCCATCATCAGATAACCTGCAAAGACGCTTATCTAGTGCCTACCTCAAACCACTAATACCCAGGTTACATGGTCAAGGATATCACAGAATACTTATGATCAGAGTCCTTGAAGTGTGATGGAAACGTATGAAAGATTTACGTGAAAATAAGGTGGGGAGGTCCATTACTCACGCACTCTGTAAAACAAAGACACTTTCCGCATGTGCATCTTTTGGTGACAGCAAGAATAAAAAGCTTTGAACGAACTGGAACGACTAAATGACGTAAACCGCAGTTATAAGTACTTGGCAAAAAGCATCTTCAATGCAGGTGGATCGTTCACTCAATGTCCACGGGCTTGTTTTGACAGTTTGCAATAGAAGATGACCATCGTGATTGCACACCTTGTTGAACCCCAACCACATTCGTTTCTCTGCGGTTGTTTTCCACGACATGCGTTCCAAAATCTTACGTTTGGAATCTTACTAAGCAACCATCTGTATGCTCAATGTCCTCATGTGAGACAAGAAAAGTTTGACTTCATAAAGCAACCTTCCGTAAATGACAATATACTCGTCGATCTTTACCAACTCTCCAGCTAGAATTCAATTTCCTACGATCTGACATTCTATACAAAGTTGTGAGACACTTGTATCCTCGAAGAAATATATGAAATTTCAACCCGCGTATTTACAAGAAAGTATAACGTGCGAACTATTGGAAGGCTTACTGTCGCTTAAAAATATCAGGTTCACACATAATATCCACATGGTGATACTTGCCAAGGTTGACTAAGATCAGTGTCGCCAGGTGGATTAGTTGCGCTCAAGACCTGCTACTTTGAGAAGAATGTTCACTTTGAAGCGTGGACTGACATCAAGGTAGTGTGTAAACATATTTACGATTGGGATTGCTTCAGCGCGGCAAAAATAATAGCGAAGATAGAAACGACTAATGCAAAGGCGTCAAATAGCAGGGCGGCCTGGGCTTGGTCACTGAGCTCCATATTGTCTCCTCCAAGCCTATCGACTGGTTCCTTTGAGTCATTTTCAGGATCCCAAACCTGCAAAAGAAGAGATTTCTCAAATACCTACCATAAAACAGACACACACTGACCAAAAATATGTCTTTCTGAGTGAAGTCTGATCCTTATCAGGAGACTCTTCTTTTGTGGATTTTATAAAGAGAAGCTATGGATTTTTTACGTTCCTAGAATGAAGCAAACGGTTCTTGTCTGTTTTATACGATAAACAAACCAAGACAACTAATGTGTTCCGACATGCTGGAATTTCCTGTAAAAAACTTTACCTCCGAGGAATACGGACCCCGATCGTCTCCCCTCCCCCCCGAAGCCTCATATGGCCATATAAAACGACCACCTTGTCTTTTAGAAACTTCTTGGGCCAATTGCCAGTCGTAGAAGCGTCTCTCTTGCTCACTACTTAGAACAGTGTATGCCTCCTTCAGACGGACGAACTTTTGGGCCGCAACTTCTAAGGGTAAAGCTGTAGTATCAGGATGATAAGTCTTGGAAAGTCTCCGATAAGCAGCCTTAATATCCTCTGTATCTGCATCTGGTGTGAGTCCAAGATATCTGTACCGAAAGACACGAACCAAAATCAGTGGAAAACCAAATGAAACCTTCTGAAGGCCAGGCCCGCACTGGGACTATTTACTGTCTTCCAGAGTGGGTGTGGAGAATGTATGACAGGTGATAAAGAGTCACAAAAAACGCCTTCAGCCCATAAAAGTTGGCAGCCATCTCTATCAAACAGAAAATGTCAATGACGTCTATTATCATAATCGGTTAAGGTTGAAAAGGGTGCAACAACTCTTCAAGTATCGCCATTGCTCAGGTCACCAACGTAAAAATCAAAGACCCAAAGATCTTCGGGAGAACTCAGAATCATGTTATGGATGTTCAACCAGAAGAAACCTCAACACCAGTAGGAAGTGCTTGAAATGGGGGCATTTCCGGTGGATGGCAAGACCAGAGTACAATCTCCAGAGGCTGACAGGCGAGACCGACAATACTACAACAAAGTAGAGTGATGGATGCATAATTTTACAAATAGAGGGAACTCAAAACTTCACAACAGCAACTAGAAATAAAGAGATAATTATGTCCAGTAATTGTGCAGCAAAACCCATAACTCTTGTGATCTTCTTGGGAACAAGCGAGTGCATCTAAAAAGGAGATAATCATAGACCAGTCACGACAGAATCGAGCGATTTATGAGATAAACGCAAGAAAACAGAACCACGCATAGGGCTGGTTTGATTCAGGAAATTATCTCAACAGTAGCGTTCTTATCAAACTGGAAGCCAAACAAATCGAGAACCTTCCTCCAAAAATCATCAGCATCGATCTCCACCAACCATTAACAATCTTAAGGTCCGTTACCACCTTTGCATTTGTCTGAAAGATTATTATTTTCAAACACCTCTAACTTCCTTGCTGGGGACTTCACAACCCGTACAGGTATTTATGAGTTAGTTCAGTCGGATAAGTACCTATTCCAACATGTTAATAAAACCGATACGCCTACAGCACTCGCATCCCAATCTCCTGGCTTCAAAAGCCTGGGCATGAAAGTAAGTTCAATTACATCTAGATGATTATCTGTCTGTCTACAACATAATCCGGATCAGTCTGATTGTAAGATTTCGGTACTCTCCAGCCACAAATAAAATTAAAATTCTTGGCGGATAAAGCGAAGTTAGACTTTTGAAGAAGGACGACAGTGGCATAGGAATACAATGGTCTGCGGCATTACACAGGGAAAGAGCTGATTCAGAAGTCTGTACTCCCCAAAAGTCCTTGAAGCTGTACACGTAGGATCCACGAGGATTTTCTGACCCTTAGGCAACCATTCCTTCAGTAGGCACGGTATAGAAATCCTTTAGCAAACGGAGCTATTCAATTTTGGAAAACGGTGTTGATTATATCTGTCCATACTATTCTCATTACTTGTAATTTGTAGGGGGTTTTCTGCTGGTGCCTCTTCAACATTCTTGTTTCCTTGGATTGGAGCTCGACTTAATTTTCGTTCAGCTATGATTCAAGCAAGAAAACGGATGTATTAAGCTCCACGTCTTTGTCGATTTTCATGAAACAGAGGTCGAATTTCAAAGCGAAATCTCCCAAACTGTGAATGGAGTATCTTCAATTGCCCCATAACACATTAAAATCATGCTCCACAGAGCGAATGCCCATTCCACCTCTTTCATTTTCAGACGAGAGACGTCAAACAGCGAAGAATTGTGTAGACGGATCCTGATACTTGGAATTCAGTCCTCCACAGACACCGACGGCATTCAGAAGCTCAAATTCGATCAAACCGACCCACAACTGCCGACGATTTCACGCACCTGTAATGACTGTCAGCAGCTTGGAATAGAAGTCCCATGAAGGCATCGTCTTGGCCCTGCCGCCAGGTGCTCACACTTTCACCACCGTCGGGAGCAGATTCATCGGAAGAGAAATCGGTGGGATCGCCGCCCGTGCCGACCCAACCTTCCTCAGACGAGCCCCAGTGAATCCTTGTATCCACGAAGGGACCACCGCCATCTCTGCCTGCTCCACTGCCGGAACACCTCGTGCGCACCGAGGTCGAAGGGCGCGCCTTGGGCGAGACCGCGCGCGGCAGAGCCAGTAGAACGCTCGCGCTCGCCGAGCGCACGAGCATCGTCATCCGCGCCCCTGGAGCGTCTGCCGTTCGAATTTGCGCTCCATCGCCGCGCTCCTCCTCCTCCTCCTCGTCCTGGCCATGCCGCCTGCTTCAAAAGTGCAACGGCCGGAGCGCCATGGGCGCGGCTCACGCGAGCCACACATCTCGACACGAGCGCTCCGCTGACGATCCATCGATCGATTTCGCAACCCAGCTCCGCAATCCTCACGATCCCTTCCCCCTCGGCGCCCGAATGCACGCCAGGGCGATCCCGCTACGCCCTTCGCCACTCGCTGCCCCGTGGCATGCCACATAAGCGGGCTTCTCCCACGTGGCACCCCCGCTGGGCTCGATCGCGGGGAGGTCTAAACCAGGGGCCTTTGGCTTGCGCCTCTGAGGGTGAAGTTTTTCTAGCCCTGTGTGTGGAAGGTGACGAGGGATACCCCTGCGCTAAAACAGAATAAATACAAGGAGAATATTTCTCGCATGAGTAGAACGTTCCATAGTCGAGTTAAAGTTTGTGGGTCAGAGAGGATGAACTTCGGCCTCGTCGTAATTAGCGACTTCATACTTTCACATTATGTTCAAGTACAATCCCCACTAGTTCGAAGAATAATTTATTTGGGAAGTTCTATATTTTGAACTGTTTAGATCTAATAGGTGAGGTAAGCTCTTCATTGCGCTTGTGCTGGTTGTTCTGGCCTGGTAGCAAAAGCTGCTTCCAAAACATATAGAGACGTTCCTCGGAGCCATCATAGGGCACCAAGACGCAATACTAATGAAATTTTCTACTAATCAAGTAATTTACATGATTGAGTGGGTAACTCATGCACGAATTCTCCACCATCTCTTATTGTACCAGATATGATATCAACATGCTTGTTAAACTAAATGCACAAGGTGATGAAGCAAAACGAATGACAAGATCATTATTATTAACATCTCACATATCCAGGTTAATTTATCTGTTTCTTTCACTGCAACTTTATAAAATTTTTCTGATTGCTCTTTAAAGAGATGCATGAACAAGTTTTTATTGCAAGATAATGGATGCATGTCGCCTAAAATATGCAACATAATATGGTCAAGAGAGTGACATCTAAGGTCATATAATCGAGTAGTATTCAATACACTCACTCACTCTCCAGGATATAGATCTTGAAGCCAGTGCATTATTTTAATAATGTTCACAGTCCAGAGCATCTGAATGTATCAATTTTTCACATGTGTAATATTTGTTGTCATCAAAATCTCTCATCTTTCATACGTGACATGATATTTAAATTAAAGTTGTTAATCTATAATTTTACATTCTTCATCCCTTAATTTAATCGCATAATATCTAAAAAAAAGCTACCTATATGATTCATTTACATATATTTCAAATCTCCAATCCAACCATATCAGAAAATTTCAAAGAAAATTTACACGTTGCACCCTGAATGCTCCCATTGACAGTAAAATTAGGAGGTCATTGCCCTTCGCTCGCCATCACTTTTAGATCACAAATAATGATGTCACCATATATAGAAATTATGATTACTGCTCCATCTCAATGAAGTTAGTTTCGAAGAAAATAGATACGCAGGATTGGAAGACCGCATCGAGATGCAAGAGGAGGGAGAGATGCAAAGCATTTGCTGATTCCGGTTAACTAAATTGAAAACTTTCTGATCGTAGGGTTTATCAAAAACCCTAGAAATTCCGAGATACAGTACAACCGGAATTCCAACAAAACTTCGTTTCCTGGTGATTTGTCATCTGACAGGTTTCCAGCCGGAGCATTCGAATTGGAGGCAATTTCACTTCGCAGATCGTGTTCTTGGATCGGTCGCAGGTGAGATGCTAGAATTCATGGAGGAATCTAATCCGGAAATAAGGATTTGGCAGGTTGATCGGATTTTGCCATGTGAGTCAGCTGGTCTTAATAAGAAACCATATGAATTGGGAACGTGAGGGATCCATTTTCAGCAAATAGAGTTCGAGAGTCGAATTTTGATCGTTGTGTGTTTTGGTGAAGGAATCGGAGTTCGGAAGTTAGATGGAACGGATCTGAACGATCAAAATGTCACGCTTCCGGATTAGAGATGTCTGCTCTGCGGTTTGTAGACTCTCACGAAGGCCAGGGGAGGAATCATGGCCTCGAAGAACTCTCTATCCGATGTCAAATTACGTTGGTGCACCATCAGTGACAAGTAGAGCTTACTCTGACGCACCTCTGCATCGTTTTGGTCTAGCATGGATAAACGAGTGGGATCGAACCAAGGTTTCTAAGTTTTCTTCACTTTTCTCTCATGAACTTGAATGGATATCTCATGTTGAGTAGTCTCCCTTCTTACTAAAAGCTGAAGCATTCGAGAGATTTCCCGTGGAACTTCCAAACGGGGATTGAAACATACATCTCAGTGACTTGAATATACTTAGAACTCTTACAAAAAAATCTTGTCGAGCTTCAGCTTGTGAAAAATTCAGAAGGAATCGAAAGCTTTTAGTGATTTTGTTTTTACTATCTAATTTATACTTGAAATTTATCGAGAACAGGTGGTAGGGATGGTGGATGGCCCAGTATCGATGGACGATGTTGTATTACGAAAAAAATCTGTATCTTCCTTTCAGCAACCCGGCCTCGCACCTTACTGTACCTACGCAGAACAGCTGTATCGACCATCAGGTATTCCTGGCGTACACTTAAAGGCAGCGTCTGGCATCAGTCAATCCGTGGCATTCTGTCACGAGTAAGAGTTCTGGCTTTTTTTGAAACCAACAACTATAAATCTCAAGCTGCCAAGTCAGTGGTCGAAGACCACCATGTGCATTTTCACAAAAAACCGGGAGGAGAGTAAATTTAAAAGTAGGAGGGGAGATCTATTTTCTAAAATTTTATAAAGAGCTTTACTACATTGAGAACAACTGTAGTGATCATTGTTATGTTTTTGGAAGGAAAGTGGACTTTATACTGTTTGGAGTGATCTCTACTAGAACTCAAGTCTAGAAGATGCGTTCAGGATGAAGCGAAAGTAGCAGTTAGCCATGTACGAAATCTAGCTGTCCCAGTTTTGGAGCTCATCTCAGAGCCAGTGTAAGGAAGGAGAAAGCAGAAGTAAATAATTGTCAGCTCGTAGAATGAAAACTTGGATTCAGCATTATGATTTCCATCCGTACCTTATCGTGTGATCGACAGATGCTGTATTATGATTTCCATCTGTACCTTATCGTGTGATCGACAGATGCTGTATTTTGAACACTTGTTGCCTGCAGTTTAAGATGTGCAAGAATAGAGGCGTAGAGAAAATGTATATAATAATTTTTGTAAGATTTTGAAGATGTTAAGCTAGAACTGAAACTCACGGGCAGGGTAGCTATTGCCATTGAGGAACTGAGAATGCAGTCAGAGTGCGCTGTAAGAAGCAAAACCTATTCTACAACTAAAGAACTGGTGCACACCGATACGTAACGAACGTTCTGAATCATCTCATTTGATCGTTTGCCAAGGTCTCAGCATTTTGGTGAACTCTTCGTCAGCATTAGGAGACAAGCAGATCAAGTCGTGCGAGAAGCAGGTAAACAAATGCCCTCACCCTTTGGCAAACAACATCGGTTGATCACCTTTATCTCCATAGTCAAGTTTCGCTCTTTGTTTCCGATGGCATATTCAATGGATAATGAATATACATTTGTGAGGAGTAGGAGGGTTATCTTCATGTTCGCCAGACAAATTTGCAATTTGTGCCTTCCCAACTCGTGGATATTTTTCACTTCCAATCCACTTTTCAACAGCGGAGGTTTACTCTTCCCCTTTTCTGGTGTTTGACAGTTAGGAGTACGGGGTTTTGCCAAGACAGTTCAAGTACCTCAGCTCATGCAGAAACCAGTGAGTGATCCCTTTTTTGGCTCATAAATCAAATCAAGAATCTTGCTTTTTGATGTTTTCTTTCTTGTTATAGCTGCAAGTGTGCAATCCGACTTGATTTCTGCTGATTGAGAGCCAAAGATCTTGTGCGTTTGATCTTGGGCAGTTGAGATAGTGACTGCTGTTTTAGTTTGTTGAAGGAATCTTGTACTCTACAAGTTTTGTCCCTCCTCTAATGGATGGAATTGTGCAGATGAAATTGAAGTTATACATGGGTAGTCCTGGAGTTATCGGAGAACCCTACAAGCCGCCACCACCCCCACTTCCATTTCTTCGAAGGTGTGTGATCAGACCTGGTAATTGTAAGAACTTCCTCTTGGCCATGATTTATCTCGCAACTGCAATAGCTTTGTGGATCAAACGTAATTAGTTCAGTAGATTTTAACTTTGATTTCTGCTCTGAACTCCCATTTCCTAGCAGTAAATTGATCATGTGTCAGCTGCTTGCCTCAAACTTCTGAAGAATCAGAAAGGTAGTGGTTTGAGTTCGCTCATATGAGACCTATTTTGTTAGACAAGTAGCTATAGTATGCCATTATTTAGTCATGATGCTAGTTTAGGTCTTCCCTTAACCTCGATTGCTGTTCCTTGGAACTTGGATTCATCTGCCTGGATTTCGAACACGGGATGTAGATCTTAATCATATCACGTCTCAATATTGAGTGCTTCGTTTACGGAGTGTTCTCAACAGGTTCTGTTACTGTTACTGTTCAGACGTCTTTGTGTTCAATGGCAGTTGTGCGAAGATAAAAGAGTTCAATCTTGGTAGGAGGAAGTAGTCTGCATGGAAGTTGCTAACGCTAACATTACCTTAACGCTGTTTTGGGTTCCCTTGTTATGGTGACCTTCAGGTGGTTCACGAAAGAGGGCTGGGCAAGAAAGAAGCAATCTTTTATGGGCATGGTACGTTCACGACAGATATAGGTGCTATTATTCGAAATAAATTAAGGGTTGTTGCTTAGACGCCTCTGGGATAATGAGTTCTACCTAGCGACGAGGTTATAAGGTGACTCATTTCTTGCAGGTCAAGACCTCCTACACGATTGCAAAGCTTCGACAAAAGACGAAGGGTTACAGCCAGCAAAAGTTCTACCAGGAGGCCTCAGACCTTTACAAACAGGTAGGATGTTCTCGCTTCAAATTCCATCTTCGTCAGGTTGTCTAACCAGTACGATCAAACACAAATGTATAGGACGGAAGGTTTCTCGCATAGTGTGCACTTGCTTTCAAGCCCATGTCACTGACTCCAGCATTTCACCCATCAGATAAACGTAGCTTTGGCAGAAGGTGAACGTACGACACTTCGACATCTGGTCACAGACAGCGTGTTCTCGGTAAGTGAAGCACAGTTGTTTCGGGAATTTACACCACTGCATTGTGTACGTCCAGTTTTTATGAGCTGCAAACGTAATTTCAAAACAAAGATTTCATGCTTTCAAGCTGAAGGCATCGCTTGTTTTTCCCTAGCTTATCTTTGTTGATGTTGGGGTTCTCAATGTTTCCAGCTGTAAATTGTAGTCTGTAATCCCTACCTGCGATTAAAAAGACAACACCTGCGTGTTTTTTAACTTCTGACAGATCATGAAGAATGAATTAAAGCATAGAGAAGGCAGCACCTGGGCTAAGGTGGACTGGGAGATGGTCGGACCCATCAGCAAAATGCGTACTGTACAAGGTCGGCTGGTGAGTTTCTCAATTTTCAACTAGAACTTTATCAGAGCCCTTAGTGTCAATATCCGTCATTACCTTCTTTCTTACGTTCGCAGCATGTCTAAAGTAGATAGATTATCGAGTTATTTATTGGTTGAGTCAAGAGAATTCGCTGGACAATGCAAGTGCCAATGGGTAAATGCTTGTCATAGGACTCTGGCTCATGACGTCTTTTTTTGCAGATTGGAGTAGATAAGAACAACCATGATAATGCTTTTGTGCAACTCACTGTCAGAATAACTAGTAAACAGGTACAAGGCCTCATCAAGTTCCATACTCTAAATTTTGAGACTGAACGTGAAATCTTCTTGTGATTGAGAATGTCTTGTATAATGAAGCCACTGGAATTCGTAGGCTGGATACTAAATTTGGCAATTTCTTAGTGCTTGTTTGGGAGAATTTCTTTTCCATGGTTGAAAAATATCCTTTCAGTTATTCAGAGTTACCTGTCATTATCGTAACGTTGTATCACAATAGTTGCATTTTTAGTGCTGTTTTACTTACGGGTTCGTTGTCATATGTTCAGAAATTTGCAGCTTATGATAAGCGCGGAAAACTTGTTGCAGGAGATCCTGACAAGGAGGCAAGAAACTCTTTGTCTAAATAAACCAAATCAAATGTTATTGCCTTCGAAGGAACATGTCTATGTCTTGACTTACCATGTATGTCGCTGCTCCGAGTGTAATTGTTCAAACTAGTTCTAGTTTGATTGGCAACCAAAGTACATGTTGTCAAATTCAGTCTACGGTGGGACTGACTACTGTGGTGGTCTTTGTGGTCTACCAGCTGCTTGTGGAGGATATTTGGGTGTTCGAGAAACCCCTACTTTTGAGCGAGGCCAAGTGGCGTTTGTGCGCCCGTCTTTCTGTTTGATTTACATTCTTCTTCTCGCCTAATCAAGCTACAAATTTATTGCGGACTTCGACTGCGACCAGAGCAAGAGCAATTTGAACTAGTTTTCATCCATTATTTGGGACATCCATCGTCAAACCGAGTACGTTGAGGCAAGCGTAGGAGCATTCATTCACGCAATACACACGAATCTTCGACAACCATGGATATGAAGTGGATAGAGCAAAGGCATCAGACTTGTAGAGACTAGAGACGATGAGTCAATCTAAGAAAGCTATGTTGAGATCTTCACTAATCTTGAAAAATTGGCATTGTTTTGTATCATAAGAGGCCTCGGAAATATGTCAATCTCTTGTATCTCACCCAACTGAAGCGGCCTCTAGCGGCTTCAAGATTGGATAAATCTGCTGGATTGTTTACCTGGGTAGCTAACCAGAGGAACCTGGATGGCACCACCACATTGTGTGGAATCCTACTTTTAATAATATTCTCAAAGTAAAACTGGATTATTTTCCTGTCGTCATTCTTACATCGGTTTCGGCTTTCTTCTAAGGTTTTAGCAACAGAAGAAGGAAGTAGAGGACATGCGTCAGTAATGACCGCCAAGGACTGTCTGAACACTTCGCTTTATTGCATGTCATCTTTCATGATAGGAAGTGGTGTTGTCCCTGGGATTTGCAAACGCAAATGAATCGTCCTCTTGCACTTTGAGAAGTTTCGGAAAGTCATCGTGCCAGATTTTCAAAGTTCATGGTGCGGGTAGTATAGATTGGGTTCCCGAATTTTGTTAAATAATGGCAGTACCCAATGCGGTAGATGTTGATAGGATCTGGTGACAATAATAGAAGGCTAAGTGGATAGCAAATAAGCAGAAAATAGCAGATGACACTGGAAAACAGAGGCCAAGCTGCAGTAGGAACATAAATAGAATTTTGTTTTTAAAAAGTTTACAATATTTTTACTATCCTTATCAAACACAGTAATTATGACACTGCATTGCCTGATGTGTTTGCTGGGTTACTGTACTGCTCTAGTTAATGTTGTGTCCTACATAACATATGGTCACAGGTATCTAAGGATAATCGAATTTACTAGATCTTCTCCTAGGTTGGTATTTTTCTATCATAGACTTACTTATTACAATAATGCATAAAATGTTTATGTGAAATCAATAACAACGAGATCATTGAGGATCTTAGCTCTTTACTGGAAATAGAGCTTGTCACAAACATATCCTGGGTACGGAAATTTCAAGACTTGAAAGATCTTCAATCCAATTGTAAAAGTATGCAGTGCGAGGTGGGTTAACTGCAACCGGTCGAGTTTACATGAACTCTTAGATGTTCGTCTCATACAACTTTAAATAGAAGTTCAATGGTAAAGAATTCTCTATTTCACATATATCAACTTTTGAACAACGCTGAAGATGTTAAAAGTTTCTCTAAATCTCTCTAAAGTTCAAACAATAGATGAACACAAAAATGGTAATTGGTAACAGAGCAAGCCCGGAAGATCAAAGGATCAAAAGGTTGAAAATCAAGATACAAGCGAAAATCACAAACAAGAGAAAAGACCTCAAAGGTTAATCCCTAGCTAGTGCCAAGAGCACTAGAATGGTAACTAATAATGTACCTAATATAACAATCTAAATCAAAAGGAACTAATTGTAATAAAGAATATTAATTCTCCACATCTATATTATGAGCAAGCCTAATGTCTTTGTACTTAGAACAAGTAACAAAAACATGCTCTTCATACTCAATGTACCCAGCGTCACATAATCTACAAATACGTTCACTCTTATCAATATTAAGCCAACTTCCTTCCTCAATTCCAAGCCTATGAGATCCAATTCTATGTCTAGCAATAATATGACTTAAGTACGTAAAGATTCTTGCAAGTAGATAATACTTTTCACAATAAAAAAGTGTAGGATTCACATGAAATTGATAAAACTGCATCTTGGTGCCGCACTTGCTCCAGATAATGTTCAAAAACTCCTCCTTTAGACGTTCGCGTAGTGCCATAGGTTGCAAGTTTCAATCTTGTTCCGCGTCATTCCACCTCAAAGACCAAGTTATCACATCCGTTAACCATCTTTTGACATGTGTGTCACACATATCTTGAAGAGGAAGGCGAGAAGCATCAAGAGATCTCACCCTTTTGATATAAGTGATGGTCAAGTATAGAGTTTCAGCCTCTAGAGCAAGACAACATGTTTTAGCAAGAAGAATAGCATATGAAATTTGGTTTCTCAATTTTCAATTTTTTATTTACAAATATCTTCTGCATACTCTTTACACACTTCCAACCTGTCTTCTTACAACTAGATTCCCACACTTGGGTTCAGGATAATACTACCGGCAACACTAAGCTTCTAAGAGAAATTTACTAAGACTCGAAGACACTAGATGAGCCCTTCTACACCAATTTAACAATGAATATAGAGCTTTGTAATCACCTTTTACTCTCTTTCGCACGCAAAGTGACCAACTATAATCATTAGCAAAATCAATCCCTAGATATTTATAACTCTTCAGCTTTTCTTAGTGTAGATCCTTGTAATAGAATGAGAACTTGGATCTAGTGTTCACTATCATGACTTTGGACTTCTCCATATTAACCTTCATCTGTATCTGGGTACAGAAGCTAGCCAAAGTGTATAGATGTTTCTGTAAACTAATTACATCACATGCTAGAAATATGATATCATACACATACAAAAGAGCTTTGATAACAAAATTTCCAAGATTGACACCTTCATTATCACATGCCTCGAACCATTCTTCGATATCATCTACAAAAACTTCAAATAGAGTAGCAGAAAGAGCACAACCTTGAATCACTTCAAAGGTACTCAAAACCTCTTCAATTTTAGAATTGTTGATTTTGATCATAACAGAACGATATAACGTGGCCACAGTTGCTAGAAGATCTGATGGTTATCCAGTGGCTTGCAACCTTTTTCCATAAAAGCTAACGAGGTACAGTGTCAAAATCTTTTTAGAAATTGATGAATGCGCAAAACAAAGCTTTTCAATTGCTTTTAGATTTCTCCCATAAAACACGCAAGGCCAAGATATGGTCAATGATGTAGTTTGTAGGGCAAAAATCTGCTTGAAATTGCGCTCTCTTTAGATGAGATTAAATTCATGTGCTCAACTTTGATTCTACCAATTTGCTTAACAACTTGGCAAAAACACTACCTACCTTGATAGTGCGATAGTTTGTCAGTGTAACCATCTTTAGTTAGTTAGAACTAAAGTAGAGGTTACTCTGAATATTGATGTAGATACTTTAGTGTGCACTAGTCATAGCTGCCACGTCAGCGATCCGCGCACTTGGTAGGTACAGAGTGGACGTGTTAGTTGACAGTGCCACGTCAGCAATCCGTGTGCTTGTAGGTAAGGATTGAATGTGTTAGTTAGTGTGTTAGTTGGGTGCGCCACGTCAGCGATCCGTGTGCTTGTTAGGGTTATCCGCCATGTCATCCATCCACTAGAAGTGGGATGGATGGTGGGGATTAGATCTTATCACCTTGTACTTGTTGGTGAGAGCTATATAAGGGAGAGGAGAACCATTGTTGGTATCTCTCATCTTCAGAGTTTACGTTTCTATCTTCGAGTGAACTTCTCTCTAAACCCTAGTGTTACAATGGTATCAGAGCGACCTTGCTCTTTCCTTGAGTGTGGATTACCCCTCATGGAATAGCAAGTGAGTGAAGATGGAGTGTAGTCTTGAGAGTGTATAGAGGCTGGCAGAGGTTATTCATCTGCATGTAGAGAGAGGTGGAAGGGAGAAATTGTGTTTTTGCAGATATGGAAGGTATTGACAGGAATCTAGTATCGCACTTGCCAATTCCTAACCTATTCGATATTCACCTTCCTTGCATGGAGAAACATCATTTTCGGATGTACCTTGTGGCTTGTTGGGGTGCAGATTTTATGACTAGAGTGATGGAGTCAAGAGTGCCACTGATTCTTCCAATAGTTACTTATGGAGAGACTTGGGATTGTACTATATACATTCTATACTGATTGTTTCATGGATTTGAATCGCGAACCACCTGTCCCGGTTCGATTCAGCATTTATGTAGAGATTAGAACAGTATATAGACAGAAGAGGTTATGGAGAGATTTTCTTGTGAGGAATTATGGAGAGGAGTACTATAGAGCTGTGATAGAGTCACCTGCACCTTTTGTGACTCCTTTGTTGAGAGGTCACATAGTGATTATACTCACTTTGTATTAGAGGGAGTGTGAGAAAGCATGGGAACATCAATTGATATGGGTGAGGTTGTCAATGCAATCATGGCGGAGATGAAGGAGTTGAGAAAAGCGATAGTAGATGGGCATACCAAGCAGCAAGCCATGGAAGATAAAATCTTCGCATTAAAGAATGAGAAAGTAGAGAGAGAGAGTTGGAGAGATTGAAGTTGAAACTCAAGTTCAAGCTTCCCAAGTTCAGCCAGAACCAACTCCTATTGATGCAGCAGAGGCAAATAGGAGACGTCTTCAAGAGATTGAAGATCAAGCAAATCTCTTGCTTCGAATGGGAAAAATCCTGTAAGGTGGAAGCTTACAAAGGGAGTAGAGCAATGGAAGTGTTAGAGTGATGGATTATGAGGATGAATATTCATTTATCCCATTTTCATGTTTCTGATTATATTGCAGGAATGTTCATGAGATCTTATCTTACGGATAAGGCTATCACATGGTACACAACATGGGAGAGAATGCTTTTAGAACGAGGTGCTACCATTTCGTGGAGTGGAATGCCGGAAGGACTTCTGCAAAATTTTCAAGCGGTGGATTCTCTTCAAACTGCAAGAATGAAGTTGTGGGATCTGAAGCAGAAAGGAGGTATTCATGAGTACATTGAAGAATTTCGTGATCTTCAAGTATCTATCATGGATATGAGTGGAGCTGAAGCCTTGGACGTGTTCAAACGAGGCTTGAAAGATCGAATTCGAAAGGAGGTGATGGTAAGCAATCCATCTACTGTGAATGAAGCAATCGCAATTGCTCAACGAATTTCGGGTGCTTTTGGTGTCACACACGGTGAACCAGTGACCAATTTTAGAGATCCATCTGGTCCAACACCGATGGAGTTGGGAAACCTTCGACGTAGAGAAGGTTTTGCACCAACAAGAGGACCACCACCAAGATTTGGAGGTGAGATTAGGCGACCAGGAGTTCCAAATTTGCAAGAAGGTTATGCAAATAATGGAATGGTTCGAGGAGGAGCTGGAGTTCGTGACAATCGCCAATGCTATGCATGTGGACGAATGGGTCACATAGCCAAGTTTTGTCGAGTTCGGCCGACACAACAAGGAGGACGGTTCATGCAGGGACGACCGTTCAACAATATGGAGGGGATAGAGTATGAAGAGGTGGAAGAAGCAGTTTCGGGAAACGAAGATCACCAGTAATCTTACCTCGCGGCCTTACTAGTTCTACAAAGCGAAGAAAAGGCGAGGTTGGAAGAAGACAATGGTTGGGAGCTTATGGAAGG